GGTTTTGTCTCATCGTGCCGGGACATGGCATCACAGTATGGTAAGGGGCATAACATTTCCGTCACACGCTTGAAATATTCGGCCAATCACAACACACTGGATAGCTGGCCAATCAGCGTACACCTCGCTTTTCAGACCGATGAGCTTTGTAAAAATCGACGCATTTTAGAAATGCAGGGCATAGAGGAGAAACAATAATGTACAATATGTGGAAAAGAATGTGTTTTTTGAACCTTAAACCACATAAACACATTGCATTACACCAAATACACAACATAATGTTCTGTTTAGCAACGTCATATGACCCCTTTAAAACAAAAAGTTAAGATATAAACTTGCAATTCTGAGAAAAAAAGTCAGATTTCCAAGATATAAACTCAGAATTCCCTTTTTCTTACAGTACTAAAATTTTTTTTCTCTAAATCTGAATTTACATATTGTAATTTAGAAAATTTTCCATACAGATATGGAAGCTTGTTTCCACCACAGAATTAAAAAAAAAATGGAATTGCGACTTTTCATCTTGCAGTTCCTTTTCTTCTCAAAATTGCATGTTTATATCTCATAGTTCTTATTTCATGTCTTGCATTTCTGACTTTTTGTCTTTTTATGAGAAAAAAGTTTGAATTATAATCTTTTTTTTTTTCATGTCCATGTCTTTAAGTCAGGATGAAATGAAAATTTTCTAAATGCTTGTTATTGATCTTGTGCATATGATTTGTGCATATGTGTCCTTTTAGTTTCTTTTTTTTTTTTTTTTGACCTCATAATTTTTAATGGTGACGCTATCATCCTAACATTTTTGACATTATGTCCCCAAAAATATCAAAATGAATTTTAATTGAGACTTCAAAAACATGCTCATCATAGAAGAGGTATATTCAAGCCATTTTATGTATGAATTGCATTATTCATGTATTTTTAAATAAATTAATAGATCCAGTCCAAAACATGAGCGTCACATCATTGACCCATCCATTAGTTGTGCAAATTATTAATGAGGACCACTTAAGAGTTACTTGGGACAAGCCCCAGTGACCTTCACAAAAACTGTACCCATGGGACATTCATTTGGGAAAGATGGTTTAACAGCGTTGCATGTCTTGTTAAAAAACTGTGTCCAGTTTGACTTCAATAGATAATAAAAACTCCACAATCCCTTTTCAGCAGCAAAGGGACATAATTCGATTGATTACTGCTTTGCAGTTCATGTGAATCATGCATAAACCGAGACAACAAACTCACTGCCTCAAAATCACATGTCTTACTGCAGGCTTAAACATTTCAAGTGCTGCATGTCAAAACATCTTCACAGAAGCCTCACAGCAGTATTTAAGATGTTTTAAAACAGCACACATTTCAAACGTGCCTCTAGTGAGATTTGTGTGGGTGACAAATAGTTGCCTAATCCAGCGTGTTTATTTTGAGCTCATTAAACCAGTGCAAAGTATATCTATACATCCGTCCGGTACTATTTACACAAGAGCGAACATTCGTCATAGCAAATTCCATAGCTTCGTAAATAGAAACCAGACACAATGACGGCATCTATCATTTGGCCTTACAAACACATACACACACCATGATGAGGGATGATCAGATAAAAGCGTCTGTTTGGTCCCTAGCAACAGTGCGTTGGGACTTGCTAACTGATTGGAGCTGCGTCAAACTGATCCCTATGGCACTGATAGAAATTACCTTCCTGCACTGATCAGATTTGCTGCACCGTCTTTTTTAGATTACTTCAGTTTAGCACCTACACTCTAAAAAATGCTGGGTTAAATACAATAAAATATGGACAAACCCAGCGATTGGGTTGTTTTCAACCAACAGTTGGGTTAAATATTTAACCCAGCCTTCTGGGCAGTAACCCAACTGCTGGGTGAAAACAACCCAGTAGCTGGGTTTGTCCATATTTTACCCAGCGCTGGGTTGTATTTAACCCAGCATTTTTTTAGAGTGTAGATAAGGGGTACTGAATTTCCATCAGAATAAAGTATGAATTATTTACCCACAGAGTTCTCAGAAGGAGATATTTAGGGAGAAATCAGGATGGCAACTCAAATTCCCTTCAAGTTATTCATGGTAAGAAAACGCAGGTCACTACTTTGCCCTGGAGCTCTGAGGGGCGGCGCTAATGAGCATCGTTTCCAGCAGTCGGCTTGATGTCCCTCACTGAACTGACACACTCATTTAGCTCTACATGCACAGGGTTATGTCCTACTCTTTACCATGACGCTCATTGACAAACTGCTGAAAACAGTCCCGATCTGGCTCACATTCAAGCAGCTCCAGGTACAAACTGCTGCAGTTTACAGTTTTACTCTTATTGACACAAATCAAGACTAAGTGGGAAAGTAAATCTTATAAATTTTTTGTCTGTACATAAGTGTGTTGTATGGTTTTTTAACGTAAAATAATAATAAAAATAAACGTTTATTTACGTAAAATAAATAATTTTGTTTTGTTTTGTGTCAACTATGCCAATGCAAAAATTTTGTCATAGACCTAATTTAAGATTTTTAATGCATAGCTTTTCTAAGTGAGCATGGCACTAGTGATTACAATGCTAAGGTCATGGGTTCAACTTTCATATACTAATAAATTGATAAAATGTAAC